TGGATTTAGGCGGTAGGAAACATGAGGATAAACTTGGTCATGTCATTCATTTCACAAATATTTGCTGAGAATTTCTGTTCGGGTACCATTCCAGGTGCCACAGATACAACAGTGAAGAGAACCGACAGAACCTTGGTCTTCTCAGAGCTTATACACATATAAATATCCATAAGCAAATAAATAACACAAAGTCAGAAAGTAGTAACTGCTTTGAAAATAGGTAATACAGGTAAGCAGACAGCGATCTGTTGCTGTTAGCTTAGGGTGGTCAACAAAGTTCTTTCCAAAGAAGTGACATCTGTATGAAAAACTGAATGATGGAAGAAAGTGAACCATCAAGCATCGGCATGAGGATCTTTACAGGAAGTGCGACAGCCCTGTGATGGTGATGCGCTTGTGTTTGAGAAACGGCAGAAAAACAACATGGCTGGAGGGAGAGAGACGGGAAATCGTAATGGAAATTGTTCCACGTAAACCATGGAGCATATCTTTTCCAATCCTATTGCCAAAAGATGTGTTTAGATTTTTCTGTGTATGTAATAGAAAGCCATTTGAAAGACTGAAGACAGGAAAGTTTCCTTTGTAACCTCAGTCCCTCCTGGAAGACAATAATACTTCCTTGTTCCTTATGTCTTGCTAAGAAGGTTCCCCATGATTTCTTTAGTCTGGTGACCAATATTTTCAAGATGCAACAGAGGGAATGCACCATCCTAGGAATTTAAATAAGCAATTATGAAGCAAGCACACCAGTGTATGAAGTATTAAGCTGGCTTTTCTGACAACCACGGTGGTCCCAGAGGTCAGCCTGTGCAGAGAGGGAAGAATGCAGGAAAACAGACAGAGCTGAAGACACCTGTGAAGAGCACTAGGGTTGCAAAGGCCCAGGGTCTAAAAGAGTCCAGATTCAAAGTGATCAATTTTGCAAATGCTCTTGGTTCCTCCTCTAAAACTAGAGAGTAGTGAATATGCAGAGCCAGAAAGTGCCTGCAAATCTCAGAGAAGTGGTTGAAACAGCATTTTGTTGGGAGAGAAAAGGAACAACACCCACAAGTGATATTCCTGTCTATGGTAAAGGTATTACTTTAACTCTGCCAGTCAATAAAACTTGCTTGTATTTGCATCATTTTTACTGTTTCCAAAGTCCTTTTGTGAGTATGATTTATTTGACATTCACATTGGGATGACTCAAACAAGAACCTTAATTTTCACAGAGAAGAGACCTGGAGTTCAAAGAAGCCAAGTCATCCATCCTCAGTTACTGTGCCACTCAACTTAGGAATATACTGCAAGTCTTTTGACTCATGGTATTATAAGCTCCATACATTAGAATATGCTATTTCATGTGGATTGCCGTGATGTTGAAAATAGATGCGATAATGAAATGTTTAAGGTTAGAAGAAACAGTTGCCTACAAATAGCCTGAATGGTGGGAACTTATTCTAGCAGTCAAAGCTTTAGAAATAGAGAGGGCAAACCAATCCAGATGACAGGCCAGAGATGTCATGTGCTTGCTTTAAATACTAGAAGGAAGGGTTCATTTGCTGACTTCCCTAGGCCTTCTCTGGCCTTCCAAATCTAGCTCATGAATTTATGCTCTTCAACATGAGTTAAGTTCACTGATTCAATCAAGATGCCAGAATTTAAAAACTAAAAAAAAATTACACGTTGTTCAGGGGTATACATTTAACTTTCATACAACTCAGGCTTTCTTTTACATGTTGTAAAAAGGGGAGTTTAGAAGTTTGTGAAAACAGGGACCAGTAGATGGCATAATGGTTATGTCGCTGGACTTCCCAAAATCCAGAAAGCAGACTGGAGGAGGAGGGATTGCAGAATGGCCATCCCCCTGGGGCATGATTCTAGCTTTCTTTCTCTCTGATGAGAGCACATGCTCTATAGCAAAAAAAAACCTCTCTAAAAAGAGAAGTTTGTGGAAACATGGAATTAATGTTTATTTTGGCAGGAAAAATTGGAAATTTATGCATAATGTTTTCTTTTTATTTTTTAAGGTGATCTCCTCCCATCCCCTCTGCCATAGGGCATGTGCACTAGCCAGAGAGAGAGAGACAGAGAAAGTGAGAAATCCCTCCACGGGAGATGGCTACTCCATAATCCCTTCTCTTCCAATTCTCCTTTCAGGATCTTGGGCACTCACACACATGCACACGCACCTGGTGTGAGTTTTAAAACACCGAGTCCGGGACTAGAACTGTGGTTGACAGTGTGGGAGTCCAGTGACGCGACCATTACATGGCCTGCAGTTTAAAAATCACTGGGTGTGATTTTTAAACTGCAAAGTCTAGGATTTGAACCAGAGTCAGCCTTGTGGGAGTCCAGTGCCTTAACCACTATACCAACTGCTGGCCTTCCATAATGTTTACAATATGTATTTTCCATTAACTTCTTGAGATTGCTTGTAAACTTACACATCCCAAAGGTGCTTTTTCTATAGCAAATTCATACTGCTACTCATCAGCTCCCACAAAAAGAATTTCAAGCTGGGACCAGCAGTTAGCGTAGTGGCTGTCGCTGGACTCCCACGTAGTTGACTGCGGTTCGCATCCTGGACCCGGTGGCTTAAAATTCACGCTGGGCGCATGTGTGTGCATGCCCAAGATCCCGAGAGGAGAATGGAGGAGAAGGGATTGCGGCATGGCCATCCCCCCTGGGGGGTGATTTCTCGCTTTCTGTCTCTCTGTCTTTCTCTGTCTGGCGAGCGCACATGCCCTATAGAGAAAAACCTCTCAAAAAAAAAAAAAAGAATTTCAAGCTGCTGAGGGTTTGATTTCCAAGTATCACCATTTATATGTCTACAACTGTGTTTATATAATCATATGAATATATTAGCCTAGCATCCCTATTATAAGACATTGAAGACAGAAAAAAAAGTGCTACTACATGCTTTTAATACTGGAAACAAAGGCTGAAATCACTGGGAGGGATAAAAAAAGTCAACTTTTGGGCCCCAGTCTAATATATAACTATGTGCTCACCTGCTTTAAAGGAACATGCATTTGTTATTCAGAACATAATTCTGGACAGGTATGGTTGAAAGCTGTGTTCAACGGAGCAGGCTGTCATGATGGAGGAAATGGACAGATTTTTTTTTCCTTCTATATTTTTCTTTCTCTTTTTTTTGTTGGACAGATCTTAAAATTATGAATGCATAAGCAACATAAAATATTTCAGTGATACACATACAGAGACTATGTCTCAAAATCTAAAAAGTTGTGGATAAGATACAGACTTTCAACAACAAAAAAACCACCTGATTTTCAACTTTTGTTAACAAACTTTATAGCAAATTGATAAAACTTGAGCAAGTGCAGTATTCAAATATTCCATTTAATTTTGGGCAAAATTATATAATGTCTTCTCATACATGTCACTTAAAATATGGTACAGAATCAAGAAATATGGAATGGAATTACATAAAATTATAGAAAAATAATGTTGAGTTTAACCTATGTAAAGCAAATATTCTACCCACCTGGTTACTCACAACATCCAGAGCACTTAGCAGAATTCCTGGCACACACAGAAAGAACATTTTTAAAAAAGTTACATTGTAAAAATTTTATGAGAGCCAAATAATGATTAATCATTAAAGGCAAAACCCAAACACGTCTATCATAATTAGCCTTTTACTATAATCTATTGCTTGACTTAGGAATGTTCACCTTTCAAACAAAGTTTCAAAATACATCTAGCAAGGAATCCCCTGTGATCTCAAATCACTTGACCACAGCTGATAAATTGCTACCAGCTTAAGTAGGAAAGAGAGAGCAAGGAACAGAAAAAAAGTGAAGGTGGTTAACTGTGACTTCACAAAAATACAATTTCCTGGGCCCATTTTCCCAAGTGTAAAACGTGATTTTGCTATACAATGTCAATAGAAGAGGGGAGGGATACAGCAGCAGAAAAATAAAGGTCAAGTCTTCTTTAGCAACTTTGTCCTTGTTCTTAAATCCCATCTCTGCTCCAATCTCAAAATCACTCCCTCAGCACTCCCTAGACCCTCAACTCAAAACTACCTCACCTTTAGCTCATCACCCCCCTCCCCCACTCCCTTTCCCCCTGTAGGATAGTAATTCTATTGTGTTTATCTCCAGTTTCTGCAGAGCTGGGAGTTGATAGGTTCTCAGAAACAAGAATCAGTGCAAGGGAGTCTGGGAGGGGCCCACTCGCTTGCCTGATAGTCTCACAGGTCCTGAGCAGCTTCGAGGTGGAGCAGGGCTCCATGGGCCACGGGTTCATTTTAATGGCAGCTCAGTTTTTATCACATGTTGCAGCAAGCACCCAACATTGTGCTCCTCTTAACACCCTAGGACGTGGGTACCTTTATCATTCTCCCTTAAAGAGGTAGACACCTGTTTATGGAAACATGCCCAAACCTATCCAGTTTCAGGAGGCAGAGGCAGAGCTGGTCCTCAGACCACAGGGCTTGACGCCCCATCTGGAGCAGACCTAGATCCTGCCTGACGTCCAGGTAGCCGCAGAGAAAAGGTAATACCAGACTCTGGAGGGAAGGAGCAGCTGGAACCTTGGAGACCCCAGGCCAAGCGCCCACCTTAAAGGGGGAGGGGCTCCTTTAAGAGAGGGGGGCCTTTTTCTCACCCGACAAAAAGTAACTCCGGAAATGGGAAGGGGTTCTCTCCTGGAGGCACCCGCTGCGGGCGGAGGGCCAGGCGGATGGACGAGGACCCGGCCCACTGGTCGCGGGAGCTTCTAGCCCAGCCGGAGGAATCAGAGGAGGGGGCTTCAGGGAGAAGGGGGGCGGCGGCCCGGGGGAACCGGGAGTCCTGGACGTGGGTCGACCCGGGGGAATGGGACCAGAGAAGCCTGTTGGGAATGGAGCCGGCCGGCCCGGAGAGCCGAGAGGCGGCGGG